TAACCCACACATCTCTCGCTCATCCCCCATTATCCACACATTTCCCCTCTTTTTAATGCACACATCTCTCCCAACCCTTCCTAAACCACACATTTCCCCTCCATAAATCTTCAATTTCCCCACACACCTCCTTCCCCCATAATCGATCTACACGTCTCCCCCCGAGCCGGCGAGAGCTGCCTCTGCCTCACACTGACTCCCCCATACAGCAGCTCTCATAGTACTGCGAGATCGGCGCTCCGCCCGGACACATGACCGCCATGAACTCCTGGAAACCACTCCTCTCCGCCAGCTCCGCGCCATTTTTTAAGTCTCCGCCCGGACCTGTGTGCTGAACCCACCACCATGCCTTTACGAGTCCGATCCGGGAACCGACCTCCGGACAGCGGAGACTCCGTCATGATCCGACACATGGATGACTGGAGCCGGACCCGAGAGGCGCTGCGAGAGCTGGAAGAGAAGCTGTGCTGCTCTGTATGGTACGACACACAAGGGGGAAGCTGCGGGAGCTCCTCTCTGTATTCTGGGATTCAGTTTTATATTTCGGAAGTAATGGATTGGAGAGACCGGATGTACCTGTACTGAGTAGATGGGAGTCGTATTCGTGGTCTGATTGTGTACACTGTAGGGGGTGTAGTACATGGGTAGGCAACTTTGAATCTCCAGGTGCGTGAAACTACAAATCCCAGTATGCTTATGCCTTTGGAAGTCATGCTTGTGGCATTCAGAGTCTTGCAATGCCTCATGGGACTTGTAGTTCCTAAACAGCTGGAGTGCCATAGGTGTCCTTTCCCCATTGAAGTATATCTCGTGTCTCGGAAAAGGAATTTGTTACATACATACTTATAAGGCTACAGGAGACTAGAAGAAGAAATTGTGCCTTCATCATGTCATGTGATTAACCCCTAATAGGAAATCACCTGCACTCCAACCTTGGATGAGAGATGTCATCTGAGTGCTGGTGATTTCTATTATGTGATTAACCCCTTCACATAACAGCCAGTTGTCCTATGTCAGTGCAATGACACTGCAATGAAAATACCTTTTATTCTCTGTGGTGCTTGTTTACACTTATTTTTCTCTATGGTGCCCATTGACATCTATCCTTCTCTATGGTGCCCATTGACATCTATCCTTCTCTATGGTGCCCATTTACACCTATTCTTCTCTATGATGCCCATTTACACTTATTCTTCTCTATGATGCCCGTTTACACTTATTCTTCTCCATGGTGCCCGTTTACACTTATTCTTCTCTATGGTGCCCGTTTACACCTATTCCCCTGTATGGTGCACGTTTACACCTATTCTTCTCTATGGTGCACGTTTACACCTATTCCCCTGTATGGTGCCCGTTTACACTTATTTTTCTCTATGGTGCCCGTTTACACCTACTCTTCTCTATGGTGCCCGTTTACACCTACTCTTCTCTATGGTGCCCGTTTACACTTATTCTTCTCTATGGTGCCCGTTTACACCTATTCTTCTCTATGGTGCCGTTTACACCTATTCTTCTCTATGGTGCCCATTTACACTTATTTTTCTCTATGGTGCCCGTTTACACCTACTCTTCTCTATTGTGCCCGTTTACACCTACTCTTCTCTATGGTGCCCGTTTACACTTATTCTTCTCTATGGTGCCCGTTTACACCTATTCTTCTCTATGGTGCCCGTTTACACCTATTCTCCGTGGTACACGTTTACACCTATTCTCCTCCGTGATGCCCGTTTACACCTATTCTCCTCTATGGTGCCCGTTTACACCTATTCTCCTCTATGGTGCCCGTTTACACCTAATTTTTCTCTATGGTGCCCATTTACACCTATTCTTCTCTATGGTGCCCGTTTACACCTACTCTCCTCTATGGTGCCTGTTTACACATATTCTCCTCCATGGTGCACGTTTATACCTATTCTCCTCCGTGGTGCACGTTTATACCTATTCTCCTCTATGGTGCCCCTTTACACCTATTCTCCTCTATGGTGCCCGTTTACACCTATTCTTTTTCTGGTGCCCGTATACACCTATTCTTTAAAACGGGTAAAGTATTCACTAGGTTAATTTTGTGTACTTTAAGCTAAACTCTGTGAATTAAAAATAAATACACCCTGGCAGTGTGTGTGTGTGTATGTATATGTGCAGGGCTTGAAAAATCCGCTCGTCCTCTCGCCTGTGACTGGGGTTTTAATTTTTTACTATATTAACCCCTTCGTGACTGACGACGTATCAAAAAACAGTTTTTAAAATGAAATAAAATAAATCTAATAATCATTAAAAAAAAATTAAAAGTCCCGCGAGCACGCGCGTCGCCACGTAAACACGCGTCGGTTGCACCTACGCATGAAAACGACGAACGCGCTATTGCAAAAAATGAAAAAAGGGCCTCAGTCATGAAGGGGTTAAGGAAACACTACTGAAAATTTTGAAACAAAAGTTTTTTTTTACATTATGTTATAATACATTTATTATTACCCAATTTTTTGGTAAAATATAAAAGACGGGGTCATGTCGGGTAAATAGACACCAAACATGTCAAGCTTTAAAATTGCGCGCACCCGCAAAATGGCAAAAAATTACCATACCCAACATTGACCATAGGTGACGCTTTAAAAGTTTTTACCACTCGTCAGTTTAGTGTTATCAGTGACTAATGGCCCTAGAATTATGGCTCTCACTGTGACGTTCGCGGCGATATGTAACATGTGCGGTGTAATGGGCGCAATCATTGTTTTTGCACGCATGTTTGCTCACGTGTATGTATGCCACCAAAAATTGGTGTTTTTTTAACATTCTTTTTCATGCGACTTTACATTATGTTTTTTTTCCACTTAACTTTATTGTTATCACATATGGGGCTAAGAAACACCCTTATGTGATAGCAAAGAGGATGTGCCAGGTTCTCTTCATGGAGACATCAGGGGTCTCCAAGACCCCTAATGTCACCTAGGGACACCCAAAGAAGCTGATGAAGCAGAGATCTTCATCAGCTTCTCTCTAGCATCTGAAGCTGGAGAGTGACACAAGAATGCGGAAGTGATGTAATATCGTGTACCGATCTCCCTCTGATCCCCTGTCACAGAGCCACCATGCTGGTCCGGGCTCGCATCGGGCACAGCAGAGCTCGGTACCAGCGTGAGGGGGGGGGCACCGCACATACCAGCACGTTATACTAGCGATCCGCCGTTTCTATAGCCGACGGATCACTTGTATGTAACAAGCATCGCTGCCTGTTTTAAAATTTGGGCAGGTTCCCGCTCGAGCGTGGCTGAAGGGACGTTTAAATATGCCGGCCGGGAGGCAGTTAAGGAAGCCAGGCGGTGTATAACTCGCCACCCGGCTTCCCGATTAGCAGGGAAGCCACCCTCATGCTTCTCGTCACTAGGTGACGAGAAAGCGTGGAGCCGGCTTTCTAGCCAATCAGGAAGCCGGGTGCCATGTAATGATGCTGCGCCCGGCTTCCTGATTGGCCGGGAAGCCAGATTCATGCGCCCTCGTCATGAGGTGATGATGGAGCATGAAGCCGTCTTCCTGGCCAATCAGGAAGCCGTGTGCCGCATCATTACACGGCGCCCGACTTCCTGATTGCCCAGCCCGACCAATCAGGCAGAAGGGCAGCGAGTCATTACATGCTGCCCGGCTTCCAGATTGCCCGGGAAGCCAGCTTCATGCGCCCTCGTCACAAGTGAAGAGGGAGCTGACTTCCCGGCCAATCAGGAAGCCGGGCAGCATGTAATGATTCACTGCCCGGCTTCCTGATACCAGAAGTATCGGGCTAATCATCAGAGAATTTGCAAGCTTGTGGTCTCCCTGCAGCTGATATTTCTCCCTCTGATGGTCTTTTTGTGCACAGCTTGATTAGTTCAGCAGGGGTGTGGAATTCCTATCGCCCGACGCCCGGGACAGGCAGTTTCGGGCGCAGGGTGAGTAGTTTTTTTTCTACATTTAGCCCGGCTGCGGGCAAGCAGCACAGCTAAATGTAGTGTGGGGGCCGTTTCGTACAAGTGATTTTGAACGGCTGTACAGCCATCCAAAACCACGTGTAACTTGCCTGAATCTCACTCCCCTCCCTCGCTCTCCCTCCGCCTCCCCTCTCTCTCTTTCCGGCGGACGGCCATGTACCTTTCTCGGCTGCCTCTCTCTCCGTGCTTCTTTTGCTGTGGTCTTCGGGGTCCCCCCCCCCTCTTGTGGGGGGATGCGTGCCTACGGGAAATAAGGTTAGAGAGCATGGAGCAGGGCAGAGAACGCTTCTCTACTCAGCTCAGTGTGAATAGTGACAGGGGAATGCAGCCTTCCTGTCACAGGAGAACCAGCACAGAACTGTGCTAGAACTCCTGTGTTGGAGGTGACAGGGTCAATAAAGAGAACCTGTCACCTCCAAATGCTATCACACAAGGGGCTTGTTACTCCTTGTGTGATAGCAATAAAGTCAAGTGAAAGAAAAAAAGTAAAAAATAAAATATATATATAACAATTAAAAATGGAAATGCATAAAAATGTAAAAAAAAAAAAAATATTACAAAGCAAAAAAAATCTAAACTGAAAACCAACCCCTATTATCTGCATGCGAATAAACGCATGCATGGGGTATTGTGTGTGCAGAGTGGGCGATCCGTTACCGCACGGCAATCGTGCACAAAACCGCGTGGATGGCCGGTCGTTCACAGAACCGGACACCACCGCCGATCTCGCTGGCAGTGCCATTATTGTCTAATGGCACCCCAGGCGCGCCAAGCAGATTGTGCAGTTTGCCGCTGCAATAACGCCCGTGCAATCGTACATAATCCCGGTTAAAAAAAACGACACGTACCTTTTTTCAGCGATTTACCACGCGGATGTAACCCCATTGAAATCAATGGGGCCGCATGGCGAACGCACACGGTCGCCCAAGTCTGCTCCCGCCCCAAAGGGTAAATTAACTTTCCCAGGTAATTTTGGAAAATGGAATTACCTGCACAAATCTGGCCCCCTCCCCCTCCTGCTTTACTTACCTTTCAGAGAACGGTCCTTCCCATCCGGCAGTATGTGTGTACTATCTACCTGTGCCATGTATTCTGAATTTCGCTCGCAAAATGCAAGCACTCGTTGGTCAGCGCAGTCACCTGACAGCACTGACCAACGAGAAGCTCTTCTTGGCACTGCTAAATACGGTTTTGGTTAAAAAAAAAATCTTTTTTTGTATCAGGACAAGTAGATTTCCATGAGGGACAAGCAGATCGGCCCCCTGATTTAGTCCTTGGATAAGTAGTTTTTATTTAAATTTCCACACCCCTGTTCAAGTCCTCTTTGAAGTTTGCAGATTTCTGTGTCTCTGCCTTCCTTTCAGCCTGTTCGTTGGAGAAAGTCATCATGGTCAAACTGGCAATTCATTTTCCAATAACTGGTAGCTGACAAAGGGATCTTTCAAGGTGAACCAAGGATAGTGAACCTTTTCTATCTGTGTAGCATGGCAGAGGTGTGTGTGAATCACAACACTGACTGAATGATATTATGATGCCTGTGACAGCAGAAACAGATCATTATATATTTATTCAATTGTATATTTGTCTATAGATATTATTATTGTTATTGTTGTTCTAAGCATTGTTATCATTTGTGCTTTTTTTGAATGTTTGCTAATAAGTAGAGCAACCTCTTTTACCAGCTACTTGCTGAATTCACTTTCAGCAGAGTAAGAACAAATGAAAATTGATGGTGGAAAGCTTAGAGTATCAAATATGTCTTGTCAAGTGGGTTGTCAAGGAGCTCCTTTTGTAGAGCTTACAGAAATGTGCAAATCGACTATACTGGTACAGCTGAAGAGTGAGAGGTTAAATATGCAATCTTTATTATATAATGATATCATTTTTTCTTAATGTGCATGGCTGTGGATTACAACATCTGTGGTCTCTTTACATTTGGTTTTATGTGTTCTTCACGTTAGTTGTTTTTTTCCCTTCCTACAGCTTGTTGACATTGAAGCAGCCCGTATGCTTGGGTGGATGTGAACATGTGTTTTGCAGGTAAGTTACAGTTTTCTTTATCATCTGAATTATTTTAAGCAGTCACAGTTAAATATTTCTTGCTGGGTAAATGTTATACCCAGCAAATTAGACTGTGTGTTGTGTGGTTTGAGATTGCTATTCCACATTTCGCTGCATTGGCTACTCTCTATCTGTTTTTTTTTGTTTGTTTTTTGCTATTTTAGAGTAGGATTCCATACTTGGAAAAAAAAAACAAAAAACAATTATTCTTTATGCTCAAGCTACCTGAGCTTACATGTAGTACTTGAGTCCACTTTCACACTTAAACCTGACATTCCCACACTAACCACCTCCCACAACTGCAATGTTTGTGGCAGCTATCCCCTTTGTGATCTAGTAAAGAACAGACTTGCGTCAGTTAAAGCCATCCGACTAAAACAAAATAATGGTACTATCACGGGTGTGAAATTCCTATCGCCCGCCACCCGGAACATGTAGTTCTAGGTGCCGGGCAGGTGTTTGTTTTTTTCTACATTAAGCCCTGCTGCGGGCAAATAGAACTAAATGTAGAGCAGGGGAGCCTTTCATACAAGTTATCCTGGATGGCTGTATAGCCACCCAAGATTACTTGTAAGCAACCAGCTTGTCATTTCCCCCCCTCCACCAGCTTCCTCTTCTCCATGGTCCGTCCTCCCTGCTGGCCGCCTTCCTCCCTGCTGGCCGCCTTCCTCCCTGCTGGACGCCTTCCTCCCTGCTGGCCTCCTTCCTCCCCGCTGGCCTCCTTCCTCCCCACCGTGGTTTTCGGAGCCCCAGGACCACGGCAAATAGTTCAGGATGGAGAGCGGGGAGCAGAGCAGTTAATAATTGTAAAAAGTATAATAAAAAAATGTCAAAAGTAAATATTAAAAAAAGTAAAAAAAATAAAATTAATTGAATTAAAAAAAATAATTAAACTAGCCCTGCCATCATCTGCGTGTGAGTAAACGCACGCGCAGGGCATTGTGTGTGCTGAGTGCTGCCCTCATTCCACTGTGTGCCATATTGTGGTATCGGGTAGCAGCGCTCTCTAACATGCACAATGTGCATTAAACGGTAAGCTCACTTTCCCAAGTAATTTGGGGAATGGAATTACTCGCTCAACTCTGAGGCTTTATAGACTCCTGTGGGGCCATCTTCAGTCTGGTAGATGGCCCCATATAAATGCATGAGATCTCACTACACAAGTGTAGCCTTTCTTTGTTGGGACCTATGGAGAAGAGACATTTTTGCACAGTATGTAGCAGCCCACGAACTTGGGAAGACTACTACAAAACATATGGAGCCAGCGTAGGTCATAATGGGTAAAAGAGGTCCCTGGCTAATTTAAAGACTTTTAAAATGATCTAGTAAATTATCTTTAAATAAAAGATATGTGCCTAATAAGAATGTGCTTTACTTTCCCTTTGAAGAATAAAGATTCAAAATATTACAAGTACCCATTTATGACTGGCTCTCTTTATTGAGCAGAATTTGTGAGGGTTTTCACCAGTTGCATCCCTGTTTCAGATCAGTCAATCACCACGAGGTGAAGTAAGGACAAGGATGGCAACCACAAAGCTTGCATATTCAGTACCAAGTCAGCAATTACAACTCTCATATCGGTATTTTAAAAGGGTTCCCTTTAATAGCAGGATTTTGAAGTTTCTTTCTCAGCAGAAGTGACACAAGCAACTTCCTGGACACAGAACTCTGTTGATATGAATCCAGTTATTTACATGTGATAGAGTAATGCTTGTTCAATTGAGCTACAGCAGGCCTGGACAAATCTCACAGGGATCTAGTAGCCAGCTGAAAAAAGTCGGGTGCCAGCAAACTGCAGCCACTTACTGTGGCAATCAGCATTTACCAATCTTATTTTCTTGTGTGTACACAAATCAAACAGTACAGAAAATATTTAAAAAAAAATACAGCTGTGTCCCTGAGAACAGATGTTTATTTGTACTTAGAATACCATTATAATGGTAAGTTAAAACCTCAAGACTAATTTGTGTCCCATATCCCAGGATATATATAGATCTATATATATTAGGGCTTTTATATTATGGCTGGTACTGATTAAGATTTTCGTGTTCGATTAATCGAATTTTTTTTTAATCGATTAATTATAACGCACATACAGATCCAACTACATTGGCCTATACACATACAGCACAGCAATGAAGTAATAAAATGAACTAGGATCACACTAATCTCACGTGCCCCACTCAATATGGCTGCCACTTGAGTGGGGCAACTCAGAATAATAACGTGCTGGATTAGTGTGATCCTACTTCATTTTATTACTTAATTGCTGTATGTGTATAGGCCAATGCCTTGGCTGGCGCTCGTGCAGAACAAGTTTCTTGGGCAAACCTCTTAGTTGTAACGAAACCGGAAGCCAGGCGGTCGCAGAACTCGATAAGTTCTCAGTGTCGACAGATCACTGGCCGAAGTGGCTCCGTCGGCTAACAAAGGGAAGGGGGGAGGAGTCCAGTGACGTCACGGACATTGACGTCACCGGACTCCTTCCCCTTCCCTTCATTAGCCAACTGAGCCACTTGGGGAAGGGGGAGGAGTCCGTTGACAGTATGTGACATGGGGACCTTAGATTGTAGGCTTCTTGGACAGGCCCTGAATGTAAAAGCACAGCATTGCCAGCACTATAGAAATTATTTATTTAAACAGTTTCATCACTTCTCTGGAAAAGCGTACCCTTATTATACGTATGAGTACTAGTTAACCATAAGCATTTAGCCCACATTATTTAACAGGATAGTTTGGGTATGAATTAAAGATCCTCCCGGTACCACAGCTGTGAACAAAAACTGTAATGCCTAAAGCAGTGGAAGTGGATGATTTCATTTATTTTAGCTCTGCATCTAAATTATCTAAAAATTCTCACAGGGGGCTTGTGGCATCAAAATGCAGTGTCACTCACCTCTCCGCCGGCTTCCGGGAGTCCCGTCGGAGATCCGGTGACGTCACACACATCTACGTCACTCTGTCTTATTTTCGGGGAAACACGGTGTATATATATATATATATATCTGTAGGGTTCAACTTGCATTATCATGGTATCTTAAATAATTGTGTATAAATAAACAATATTTTCTATTTTTTTTTTCTATTGATTTTTGCACAGCTTGATATGTACACAGGATTTTGGTCTGTCTACAGTATATGTTTATTGTTTTGGGAGTGTTCAGTGACTGAGGAAATTCCATTTCTGCTAGTAGCTCTCAAGCGTGGCTGGCTGACTGAAAATAAAATGCTCAAATACCTAGTCGCCCGAGAGTGTTCCTCTATTGACCTGGTGACCAGGATTTATTCAGTCCTAGGCTACAGTAAAATCCTCAACATTACACAAAATATTAGGTTACATTTCAATTGGGTATCTTTAAGCCAAGAACAACCCTTAGTGTGTGTTTTTTCTTCTTCTGTGTTTTAAGGACATGTGTGGGTGACAATGTTGGAAATGAATGCCCCCTGTGCCACACACCAGCCTGGGTAAAAGATGTGCAGATCAACCGGCAGCTTGATAACATTATTCATCTATGTAGTAGGCTGAACAGCCTACTAGATAAAGGAAAACAAGATGGTGAGTTCTGTTTTTAACATTTTTCTTCTTAATTGCATTTGAAATTATTTATGTAATGTTACATTATGTATATATATTTGTGTGTGTGTATACATTTACCATGACATTGCCGACCTAAGCTTTACGTCAGACTTTTTAAAATAATGAATCCAGATCAAACAAATGTACATTACCCAACAAAATATTTCTTTACATTTTTGTCCCAGCACTTAGTCTTCATGTTTCCTAATGGCTGGCTCCAGCTCTATTTGCTCTGCTTCCCTGAATTTCTTGTCCAGTACAATGTCACAATAGACAGAGCAGTCTGCAGCAGTTCTTCATCTACTAGCTTAGAAAAGGGATGAAGGAGTAGAGAGCAGGGCAGTGTTTTGCCCTGCTGTGTTTGTAGAGACACCGCTCCATAGAGCCCTGCAAGGCAAAGGAGCCAACCTAAAACAAGATATCAGGGCAAGTGCTCAGGTGACCAGTTTATTCTTCAGGAAAGCAAAACGTTTAAATATTAAGAATTGACATCCATTTTAAGTGATTTCATCAGCATATGAAATAGCCTAAAAACCTTTTGACTTTAAAATCACTTTAAGACCTTATTGGGTTCCTAAAGCTGAGAAAAAGTCTGTTCAGAAGAGGTACAGAAAATGTTAGCCCTTGGGGTCATAGATGAATCTAAGAAGGAGCGTTCAAGTCCCATAGTGCACATCCCGAAGCTGGATGGCAGCCTAAATTTCTGCAACGACTTTAAGAAACTGAATTAAATATCCAAATTTGATGCTTATCCCATACCACAGGTGGATGTGTTTTTATAGAATGGTTGGGTCCTGCCAGATACATTACCACTGTCGATCTCAGCAAAGGGTATGAGCAGGTTCCTTAACAGCCAGGGCAAAGGGAAAGGCAGCTTTTGTGACACCAGATGGTCTGTTCCAGTATGTGGTGTGTCCCCCCTTTTGGCTAACAAAAGGCTCTGGTCTCATTCCAAACAATGCTCCACTTACTGATCGCACCAAAGAGAACAAGTCCACCATGGTAAAATAGGGTGAAAAAGCAGAGAGAACTTTTCAAGAGCTGAAGGCAGTATTCTGTAAGGGACCAGTGTTAATCAACCCCAATTTATGTCAAGAATGTCTTGTACAAACAGAGGCCTCTGATGTTGTCCTGGGAACAATTATGTTCCAGGAAATTAATTTGGTAGAACTTCCAGTAGCAGACCTCAGCCGGAAACTGGAGTACTACAGATAAACTATTCAATAGTGGAAAGAGGGTCCCTGGCCATAAAGTGGGTTATTGAGGTAGTATCTTTTGGGCAGATAGCTCAAACTGATTGCAAACCAATCTCCTTTTACCATGGATGATTCAGAAGAAAAGAAAAAAAATGCAACAATCACAAGATATATTTTTTTCTGATTCTCCAAGACTTTTAATGTAGTACTCAGACTGCTGAGCACTGGCTTGCAGGATTATGGACAGTATGCATATGTCACCTAGGTTTCTCCTATACACATGGTGAGGAGCTCTCTTGTATATGGCTGATATTGAGAAAAACTGTTTTCTCAGCTGCCTGCTGCTCAGGGCTTGCTCTCTCTGCTGCTTGCTGCTGAAAAGGCTGAATGCTGACAGAACACTAAAAAAGGTACAGGTGCATTGTTTGTTTTAGGAAACATATTAGCCGGCACCCTGTTAGACAAGAACTGACCAGAGGAAAGGTAGTGGCTTGGAAGAGCAGATGACTGTGTTTGTTTCCTGCCTTACTGAAAAAAAGTGCAGGACAAATCTGCTTGGGCACCTTCTGGTAGTCCCTGTGTCGTGCATTGTGTATGTATGTGTGTGTGTATATATATATATATTGGGGATGCACCGAAACATATCAGCCAAAAATTGCGGTGCAGCAGAGAGCAGAGAAACTGTCACAGGAGGCCTAGCGTTGCCGGGGAGGAGAGCGATGTGAGCGGCTGGCATGTCACAAGAGGAGAGTGGTGTGGGCGGTGACAGCTGTGAGCACTGCACAGGAGGCTGAGCTCTCCTCCCTGCACCGCTCGCTCAGCCTCCTGTGACAGCGAGTCAGGGTGAAGAGCGGGTACAAGCAGTCAGTGATCACTGGGTGTTTGTAAATAATTGAGGACATAGTATGTTTGCTGTGTCCCCAATTTTATGAATGATCTACATCACTTCCTGTTCATTCATGATTGTGGACAGGGTAAACATACTATATCCACAAGTTATCAATGAACAGGAACACTCAGTATAGAGGCTCCCTGTTCATTTATAACAGAGGCTGCAGAAAAAAAAGAGATTGTGTTTTCAATCTCTTTTTCTATTGTAAAAGAGAAATATCAGGGGTCTGTTTAGACCCCTGATATTTTCACGAAGCCCCCAACAGTAAAGTAAAAAAAAATTAAAATACTTAATAAAAAATTTGAAAAGGTTAGAAATTGTTTTTTTTTCCGGTTTTGGCCTGACATTTTTTTTATTTTCGGTTTTAAAAATCTCATTTCGGTGCATACAGATACACATTCATTCGGTACATAGCCAAAATCGACACTTACAGAAAATGTCAAGAAAAATATATAACATAATTCTTTGATCATTTTCACTGAAGGTGAAGGGAATGTCTGCCTATTCGTTTATTTTGTTGTTCATATACTTGGATTTAAATTGTCAGGACATGTGGTAGATTTACTTCAACAGAAAAAAAAGTTGTATATTTTAATCACCCACTTGTTATCTTATTTAGAGAAAGAAGGTGTATGTGTTCTATTGGGGAAAAAAAAAATCTCATTACATTATTCTGAAAGATTATGGACAAAACCGAGGAAAACATCCACCAGACCTGTAATTATATGCTAAATCACCCAACTTAGTCAAGTCTAATGAGGTGATTATTTTATCAGCTTTTAAATGCAGCTAATATATGTGATTGCGGTAGTGTCTGACATTCACCGTACTTGGCTTTGAAAGATTTGAGGTACTCTCAGGATTATTTCTGTTAAACAAAAATAAAGGCATTGATCTTGGGAGATTCAGATGAGGTTACTGAAAAATATTCCTTTAGGCTTCACTATAAAACAGCTTGTGCCATGCCTCAGGGACCCCTGATCCAAGGGCGAGCTTCAGCTAGAGCACTTGACTTTCAGTTGCTCGTGACTCTCCCCCTCCTTCTCCAGACACGGCAAAAGTGTTTTGTTTTCTGTGTCAGGATCTCACCACTTCATTGCTTAGACATGTTGCTGAGCAGTATAGTAGAGAAGTGCCGTAAGAGAGTGTACTCTGTACTCTGTCAAACAAAAGCCACTTAGACATTCTGCATAATCTACACGTCTTTTGAATTAAGGGATACCCTAGAGCAAAGTGACACATCTGAATGTATTAGGTTAGCTTGGAAGTTGATGTTTACCTGTCAGATGTTCCTAGGATGGGGCATGCAGAATCCATTTACAATGCAGCCTTTAGGTACCTGCTGTCAAGTAATAAACGCACATTAAAAGGTTGTTTTATAATACCAAGTTTACTTCATTGACTAAAAAGAGAAAAACAGTTAAGGTTTTCATTTGCTTTTGATACATAAAAAATGAGTTGCATAACAATTGTTGAGGTACATACTACAGTAGTACATTTTGTGCATGCTGAAAGTGAAATATTTTTACTTCTATTTTATAGATTCTTTTACAGGCCAGAGGCCTAGAAGTTCAAAATTCCCTCCACAATATCTTCAATCCGTCTCTCTCACATGGTCGGGTTTCTTGTCTCTAAACTGGCAACATTGGTGTCTTTGCCTCACTTTTAGGCTGGTATCATTCAGGGGAGGGAGAGCACACTTTTTATCATTTTTACAAAAGTAAATGGATAAAGTGAAAGTGGAATGGAGCCACCAGATCTCAGAAGGGAATCCAGCACATCACTAGTGGAGTGGATTTTAAGTTTCAGGACTTGATATGTCTGCTAGAACGCCTGATGTTGCGTTGCTTTGCTTTATAGTAATTGGTGTACGGCATGGTGCAGGCAGAAATCCAATCAATAACTTTTAACTTCTTCAACATTAAAGACAAATTCTAGTAAAAACGTAGACAATACTGAAAATGTATATTATTTGTACCAAAGGATGTTTTCAGAAACCAGCATGTTTTTTTTCTTTTACTTTGAAATGTGTGGTTTTATTTTCAGTTATTATTGTAATGGCAGGCAGTGTCTATATCAGCAGTAGCTTTTGTTAACTTCATTTATTCACAAGAAGATAATTAAATTGTGAAATATGTAAATATGCTTTGAAGGTAATTATTCCTTTTATATTATCTTCTTTTTGTTTCCTGTTTTATCTTTTTCACAGTCATATTTTTGTCATGGTTGTCGTATCATCTCTAAAAAATTACTTAGCTTAGTCATATCAAATCCTATTTGTAAAAGGTTGCGATAACAGCACAATTAAAGCATCCATCTTTTTTCATAGCGGTACAATAGTTACACTTTATTTCATTTGTGCAATAGTCCTTTAACCGCCTCCCGGCCAGCCATTGTGAAAGCACGGCTGGCCGGGAGCTTCCTGGATCTGAGTAGCCGTCTAAATTGGCCCGGCACACTCGCGAGCTCAGCTCTCGGCGTGAGCGGGAAACCGCCTAAGTTTAGAAACGGGCAGCGATGCCTGTTTACATACAGGTGATCTGTCGGCTATAGATCGCTTGTATAACGTGCCGTTCGTGCACAACCCACCCCCATCCGCATCTTTGGGGGTCCCTAGGTGGCATTAGGGGTCTTGGAGACCCCTGATGTCTCCATAAAGAGGACCTGTCAGATCTTTTGCTATCACATAGGGGGGCTTCCTATCCCCCTAGGTGATAACAATAACGTTAAGTAAAAACAAAAACTAGGGGAAAAAATTAAAGTTGCAAAAAAAAAAAAAGTCACACATGAAAAAGAATTAAAAAAAACACAAACATTTTTTTAATGTCCCCACCCATACATACATACATACATACATACATACATACATACATACATGCATCAGGTGTGCA